GACCCTGGGGAGCTGGAGGAGCGTCCTGGCAGTGGGCAGAGCGTGGGACACCCTAGAGACTGTGGGCACAGCCGGCAAAGTCCATAGAGCGAGGGGACAGTGGCAGCTGTGGGCTGCCTCCATCCGTTAGGCCAAGGGTCACGAGGTGAGAAATCAGACAGGTTTCCAAGGTCAAGAGTCACACTTTGTGACTGATGGTGGCTGCACTGTCCTGGGGGCTTTGGGGAGAGACGGGGATGTGTCCGCACACCCAGGAGCCCCCAGACGCACGGGCGTGAGCAGCGGCTGGTTCTGCCTGTGCGGCCTTTAGACCAGAGACCTGCTGTCTGTCAAAGGCGCTCTGGGCACCCGCTGGGCACTAACGGGGCTGAAACCCCAGCTGTCTGCTGGTCCCCCGGGAACTGGCAAAGCTCAGCCCTGGAAAAGGAGCTGAGCAGCTTTGCTGGGAGGAGCTGGGCTCCTCCCAGGCTGAGCTCTCTCCCTACCATGCTGCTGGGGGCTCGGGAACGAACGGGACAGTCCCCCGTGGAAGGAAACCCAGCCATGTGGGGGGTGGGGTGGGGGTGGGGGCGGCCCCATGGCACGAGCGCCCACGCAGCAGACCTTTTCTGATGGCCCACCTGCTGCTCGCTGGCTGCGCACCCAGGAGAAGGGCTGGGCCACAGGGTCCCCAGGGCTGCTACCGAGTGGGGCCTGAGGTACTGGTGCCTGCAGGGCTGTGGGGGAGGGACCCGTCCAGGAGTGTCCGCTCAGTTCGGAGAGCCTGCTCCCGTGACCCTGCCATGAGGCCTGGGCGCGAACACCAGCCCGCCCTCAGCCCTGCCTGGGTCTCCCAGCACAGTCTCAACCTGCGTGTCCTTGCCTGCACGGTGGGCAGGGTGACAGCGTCTTTCACAGGGCGGCGGCGGGAACCCGGGAGCCCAGGACATCTGCGGACGGCTGCGGAAGGCCAGAGCCACCTGGTGTTAAACGCTTCCTAGAAACCAGCAGCTCATTCAATCCTTACACTGGGCTTCGGCATTGGACACCAGCAGCACCCCCTTTTTCAGAGGAGGCACCGGGGGTGGGGGGGGCTTGGCGAGGGCAGGCCTTTGCCCAGGGCGCGACTCCCACGGCTACCACTCACATCGACTGTGCCCTCACCACGTGCTTCATGCGTGTTGTCGTGACACGCATATTTTTTTGCAATAACCCTAGAAAGAGAGACTTTTACTCATCTCGGCTTTCATTTGGGTAAACCGAGGCAGGAAGGGGCAGTAGCTTACTCCAGGTCACACAGCTAATTAACAGGAGAGGCAGGAGTCCCACCCCAAAGTCAAGCTCGGGAGCCCTGGGCCACTGCCACGGGTCACGCTGCCTCCCTGCAGAGCACGAGCTGTCCCCGCCCAGCGGCAAGGGGCCCCCGCAGACCCACCTGCCCGGGGAGTGGGGCCCGAGGGGTTCATGGGCCTGGCCGCACCAGGCGCGGCAGGGCACAGCAGGGGCCCCGGGGCGGGGAGGCATTGCTTGCGCGCCCTGCCAGGGAGATGGGCGCGGAGCCGGCGCTGGCAAGCACGGGCTGCCTGAGCGCCATTAGCCCCCTGCCTCCGGAAAAGAAGTTTATCCAACAAAACGCGGCGAGCGGAGAACACGCCTCCTCTGGGTGTCTGTGTGGGCGGCACGCATCTCGGGAGATGTGTGGATGGAGGCGCCATCTAAAATGCAATCAATTATGAATCACCATTACTGAATTAATCACAGCATGATTAATAAAGTAATAATAATTAATGGGAGTCTGGTCTGGATGTTGGAGCGGAGAACTGACAGAGAGGCATCGGGGTGCTTCTGGCAGCCTCTGCCACTGCTGGGGGTGGGGGCGGGGGGGTAACCCTGAGGAAGGCCCGGGGCCCGAGTCTCGGCCTCTCTCCCCCGCCCCTGCCTTGGCCATGGGGTGGAGGGCCCCCCCACTTGCCTGGAAGCCCCCAGAACGGGCTGGCTGGTTCCCGGGAGCTCACCGACTACTTACAGCCACATCTCAGCTGCTCAAGGTCAAGGGGACAAATCAAAACCTCGCTCTGGCAGAGTGGAGACGGCGTGAACGAGGCAAGCGCACCTCCGGGTGGCTTTCGGGCGTCCCCGGCCTCTGATGGGTGGCGGGAGCTCCTTTCCTCACCCGTCCTCCTGTCCGTCTGCGCGAGGATTTGCCGTCTCTCGGAAACCTCCAGAGGGCCTGGGCCTCGGGCTGGTTCTCGTGGCAACGCTGGTAGGCCATCTTTGCGTGACTGTATAATTCCGGGCTCCTCGCCTACCCGGCTGATGCGTTTCCTCGTGTTGGAGGCGAGCACGCAGGAAGAACATACACAGTGACGCACGCCATCGCCCGGTCTCCCTGCTCATGCTTTAGTGTCCCCATCGCACGTGTGTACGTGTATGTCCATGCACACATACCCTTGCATGTATCTCTCTTTACGGGGCCAGAGGGAAGACAATTAAGTGTGTTGTTCTGCGGTGCTTTCCATAGGAGAGCCCCCCCCAGCACCACACAGCTCGAATGAGAGCCCGCTGTGGAGCCGAGCCCCTGCCGATGAAGAGGGAGCCAGCGATGATCTGGGGGAGATCTGTTAACACTCTCCTGCCCCCGGCGCTCGGTTCCTTGTCATGGCCGGGAAGAGGTCATTTGTCATGAGGCACCGTGATGAAGTTTAAACAAGACCATCCCCCAGCCACCTGGTCCCTACGTGGCTGGAATCCAATCTGTTCCCCGTCCGGAGAGTAAGGACGTCGCCGTCCACGCGAAAGGAAGGTGTCTCTTGGGGGCTGCTGTGGCCCACTGTCGGCTCAGGGTCAGGGACCACCTCCCTGGGCCGACCCCCTCGTTACGCAGATGGAGAAACTGAGGCCAAGCACAGGGCAGTGACGAGCCCAGGCCACATAGCTAGTTTGGGGCCGACACCTCCCCCCAAGAAAAGCTCGTTACCCTGTCAGTTCAGTGCTCTCTCCACCAGCCCTGATCCCCAGGGTCTGGAGTCGGGGAGACGGAGGGCAGGCTCCGGAGCGGGCCCCTGAGAAAGCCTGCTGGCCCCCGCGCGCTGGAGGGGCAGGGAGTCCAGGGAGGCAGGGCCGCAGGCTGTTTGCAGGGGCGCACAGCTTTGCCTCTGGGCCACAGAAGCCACCCTGGCAATGACGGAAGGACACCCTCGGGCCCTGCACTGTGTTTAAAGGAACCGCAGTAAGACGCGTCCTCCTCCGGCCTTGTCCTGACCGCATCCGGACAGGTGATGACGGAGGAGCGGGGCGGTCCCCGGGGACCGGGGACCACGGACCACGCCTGGGGGCGACAGCGGGCTGAGGGCTGCCTGCAGGCCCAGTGCTCACAAATCGAACCGGGACCTGACCTCCCTGAGGAGGAGTGTCTCCCTGTGGACGCTGTGTGGCCAGTGCCAGGGGCGGGGCTTCTGCTCCTGGGGACAGCTTTGGGCGGTGGGCCCCTCCCGGGGTGGCTGGGATCTGAGCCCCCAGGCAGGAGGAGCCGCTTGACGGCCTTGTTTTGACCCCCGCTCAGAAAGGAAAGACTCAGTATTCCCATCTCGCAGATGGGGAAACTGAGGCCCACAAGCAACCTGTGCCGGGCCCCAAGTTTCCCGGCCCGTGAGGCAGTGGCAGAGTCCCACAGTGGGGGGGGGAGGGGAGAGGGGGGCCAGAGGGACCTGCCTCCCAGGCCAGAGACTCCCTTAGCCGTGTGACCTTAAGCAAGGGACTTAACATCTCGAAGCGTCATCTTGGGACCTGGGGCTTGGCTCCGGGGAGGTAGGTCACGGAGCTATTGGGGAAAATCCGTGGATAATACACAGACTGGTTTGCACGGAGCCTGGCATAAAACAGCCATTCAATAAATGTCAAATAATAGTAGTAATTATTATTAAAGCACACGAGAGTCTTCCACCCGGCACCCTCCGCCCGCTCTGTGACAGCAGCAGCCTCCGTGTTCCCCAGCAGCAGCGCCCCTCCACGCGCTCGAACTGGGGGTTGTGGGGGGGGATCCAGGCCCAGGGAAGGGTTAGGGCGAGGGCAGCAGGTGGCGGGAGGGTGGGGCGCTGAGGTGCCACATCTTGCTCCCATTCCTGACACCCTCTGTGACCTTGGACGAGTCCCCCTCTTTCCGTCTCTGTCCCCGGGCTCTTTGTTCCCGATGCACCCATACGAGGGTGCTGTCTGCTGTGCGCCGCCCTGAGAGCCCACCCTGGAGGAGGGCGGGAGCCCCTGGGAGCCACGGGCTCCCCCTGGAAGACCACAGAGGAGCTCTTCCCACCGCCCAGGGCTGCAGGCCGGCAGGAAACCTCCCGCTGCAGGGGGAGGGGATGCAGAACGCAGGGCTGTCCAGGGCTGCCAACTGCGCGGCCTCTGCCCTGGCCGCTGCTGGAGTCCTCCCGGCCCTCCTCCCGGGCTGGCCGGGGTCTGAGGCCCTCCTGCCCCCCTGCTCCCCTGCTCTGGGCTCCCGCTGAGATGGCTCGGCTTCTCAAAAGCAGGGCCCATCAGGGTGGAGGCGGCATGTGTCAGCTGGTACTCAGGCTCTGGTTGTGCGCTCGAATCGCTCCCCCTCCCCATCTCCCCAAATCCACCCACCCACCCCTTTACCCACTGCTTGGGGCCTTCTGGGCGGCAGCACTCCGCGCAGGGAGCCAGAGCAGCAGCCTTGAGCCCTGGGCTGTTGGGGTGGGCGGACTGACTCACTGGGTCCCCTCCCCGGTGCCGCCGATGGGGCAGCCCCCACGCCCATGGGCGCCGGCGCCCCGGCAGGCCCCAGGGTCCCGGTTTCGGGAAGGGAAGCCCCAGCCCTGCGGCGCCTGACCCGCGCTGGCTGAGGATGCGCCCCGCGCGCGGGGACCCGCTGGCCCCCGGGCCGGGAGGAGATGTTTAGGCAGCGACCCCCCAGGGCAGGCTCGCTCCCGCGGCCGCCTGCGGGGGGCCACCCTGGCCGCGGGCCCGCCGGGACGCCCCTGCTCGCGGCGCCCCTCCCGGGCCGCGGCGCGTCCCCCGAGCCTCGCTGTATTTCCTTCCTGCACCTTTAAGAAGACCGTTGCTCCGCGGTGGGATGGTGTGTTAAAGCCACACAGAGGAAGTTACGCAGCCCGGATCAGACCGAGAGATAAAAGCCCCGATGGTGATCGTGAGTGACGGCAGGAGGATTTAGCCTCGGCATTAACTTGGAACGGAGCGCAGGGGGGCCGCGAAGCGCTCCGCCAACCGGCCCACCCCGCGCGGGGGGATGCCCCGGAGCCCCGACGAGCCGCCGCGAAGCCCACCCGGGCCGGGGGCAGTCCGGCGCCCGAGCGCGGGTCCTCTCCACGGCGCCCCGGGGGCCCGAAAAGTTTGCACTTGTTAGCGGCGACCTCCCGCTCGGCCGGGGCGGGCGATGCTGGCGGCGCGGGCGGCCCCCTCCCCCGGCCCGCGTCCCCGGGACGGCTGCGGGCGGCCCCCCCGGCGGCCGGAGGGCGCCCCAGCCCCGCGCTGACGGCCCCGGCGGCGGCGGCGGCGGGAGCGGCGCGGGGACGGAGCAGCAGCGCGCAGCCCTCAGCCCGCGCCCCCACCCAGCGCCAGCCAGAGCGGGGAGGCGGTCCTCGGCCTCCCGGGTCTCCGCTCCGGGAAGCTGCTCCGAGCCCGGGTAAGGCGGGCGGGGAGAGCCCGGCCGGCGAGCGGGGGGGAGCGCTGCTGCAGCTTTGCCAGCCTGGTTTCGTTTTTAAAGGGCTTCGGTGACCACGCAGGCTTCCCCGGCCGGGAGCCGCGGACAGCCGCCCCGCAGAGGCTCGGATGCAAAAGTTGTGTGGTCGCGGCTGCCGCCGGCGGAGGACCGGAGCCGGAGAGGGGCGTGTGAGTGTGCATTTGTAGCGGCGTCTTAAAGGAGTCACCGGTCTTCCGCGCCGGCTTTTCCCCACCAGGGGCTTTCTCCATCGTGCGCGTGTGTGCGCGCGCGTCTGTGCTGGGGATGGATGTGGCGAGAATGCCTGGATGCGTTTGCGGAAAGGAAATTCGCCCTTCTCTCGCGCCCCCACCCCAATTTAATTGCCGACCCGTAGAGACCCCCCCGCACACACACCCCCCACCCCGCACCCCCTTCCCATCTCTCCGAAAACTGGGCGTGAATTGCACAGCGGAACTCTGGCCAGCCAGGACTGGAAACTTCTTTCCGTGCCGGGAGGGGAGGATTTCTGGGGGAGGGGTGGCGCAGGGACAGGCTTGGGGACGAAGTGGAGTCGCACCTCGAACGGGGCGGCGCACAGATGGGGGGCGCAGAAGCGGCGGGAAGGCGGGAAGAGGACCGTGGGCTCGCGGGGTCGCCGGCTCCGGAGTGAGTTGCCCGCGTGGGTCCGGGGTGGGGGGGACGGGGGCGGGGGGCCGCAGGGTCGCTGCCGGCTGCAGAGCTGGGGAGCAGGACGCAACTCCCGGGCGCCGCGTCGCTGGGTGTCTTCTCACGAACCGAGGCTGGACCCGACGAGGGGCGCCCTCCGAGCCGGCCCGGCCTGTGTTAAGGGCGCGATTACTCATTGCCCCGGTGGCCTGCACTCAACTTCGGAAGACAGCAAGCCGCCGCGGGGCTGCCCCGCACGCTCGCGCGCCGTGCACGCCGCGTGCAGCCGACCCGGAGCGCGGACTCACCCGGACCTCCAGGCGCGCGCGGCTGGGAGCGGACCCGCCCCGGCCCCCTCAGCCCTGCCGCGGCCTCTTCCTCGCGCCGCGTCTCCCGCACGCACGGAACTTTTCGCGGCTCCGCGGTCGCCGAGAGGGCGTGGGCTCGTCGGGAGGCGGAGCAGGGTCCTGCTCCGGGGCTGGGGCACCGAGGCTCCGGCCGCGGGACGCTCGCGGAGCCGGCGGTGAGAGGGGCTCGCGGAGGGGAGCGGAGGGCCGGAAGGTGACCCCGGCGGGCTCCCCCCTGTTCTCCCCGGGCACCACCCCCCGGCAGGCACTTTCACCCTCCGTGGCCGCCCACGCTGGGAAGGGAGCGGAAACCTCGGGGTGGCCGGGTCCCGGGAGAAGCCCCCGGCGCCTCCCTCCAGCGACCCCAGGGGCCCCGCGCCCACGGCGGCAAGTTTCCCACGAGGGCGCAGCCCGCGGGCCCGGGAGGAGCCGGCTTGGAGAGGCGCTAATTCAATAAGACAGAGGAATCGGAGTTCAGAAATCCTGGTAGAATCTAATTTTCGGGTTTTAATACCGTGGCCATCAGCCCCCTCGGCTCCGGAGGACTCTTAAAAGAAAATAAAGCGCATCGATTCCATTTGTTTCGGGGAGCTGCAGTTTCTTAATAATATCAGGTGGAGATTTATTTCCCAGGGAGAAAACGACCCGCCGGGATACAACCTCTCACTGTGAAATTTCCCGGCTGGCTTCTCTCTCCCGCTTTCCGCCTCCCTGTTCCGGGGACTGTTGCGTCTCTCCGCCCCCTCCCTTTTTTTTTCTTCTTTTCTCTTTTGGCAAAAAGCGACTGTAATATTTGCGTGCTGAGTTCACAATTCCCCCACGATGGCAGCAACGCCCAGCTGATTGACTGGTTGTAAACACGTTTATTACCCCCGCTCCCGCCAGATTTTGTTGTGGTCCGCCGCCACCGCCGCGCCCCCCACCCCCCGCGCATTTTCCAGGGAACGCGTGGCACTGAAGCCCACGGAATTGCGATGCAATTAATAGATTTGCGAGTGGCCCCGCGCGCCCATGCCTCCGGGCCTCCCGGCCTCCCTCCGGGCCTCGGCGCCTGGCTGCCTCCAGCCCAGCGCCGGCGGAGCCCCGAGCGGCGGAGCAGCCGCTGGTCCCGCCGGCCGAGGAAGGAAGCCCCCAGCCCCGCGCCCCAGGTGCCCCCGCCGGCAGGTGCTTGTGAACAGTCGGACGCCGCGGCCAGCAGATTTAATTAGGGACCTGCCAGTTCCTGGCGGCGCAGAGCTCGCCTGGGTAGAGAGGGGCATCACAACCTTTGCTGGCCGAGCTATTTTATTTTTACTACATTTTCTCGGGTTGTAAAAATAATCGCCAGGCGGGTCCTTTCTGAGAGTTTTCTAGCCAGAAGCGCAGTCAAGGCCGGGCAGACTGGATAACAGGTTTCTCTTTCAGCAGCCACAGAGGTGAGGCGTGAGCCTGTGGTCCCCACGGCCCCTCATTCATCTCCATCAGGAGCCGCTCCCTCCGGAGCAGGTGGGGGCGGGGGCCGCCTTAATTCAGATGGACGACCTGGCCCTGGAGCTTGGGGCGCCGCCGGTGTCTCCTGGGGCGGTGCTGCGCCGCCAGCCCCCCTCGGGACAGGGACAGCGTCCTTCCCGTGGGTTTGTCGTGGTGCGGGGCAGGAGTGTGTGTGTGTGTGTGTGTGTGTGCTGGCGGACAGCGGGGTCTCACCGAAGTGTAGCCACCTCCCCAGGGGCCCTCTGTGCACCGTGGCTGGGGGGGCAGGGGGGCGCCCCTCTGCAGCGGGTGGGGCGCTGGGAGCCGTCCCCACGGGGTGACAGCCAGAATAAATGAACCAGGTGGGCGGTCTGCTGGGACTCGCCTTAGCGACCTTTGCCCTGTTGGCGAGGGCTTTCGGTCCGCATCCCACACTGGCGGGACCCCCGTTCCCCCGGTGACGGATGTATCAGGTGTCTGGGAGCACACCGCATCCCTGCAGCTGGCTTTTTTTTTTTTTTTTGCAAGATGACATTTGCCTGGGTTACATCTGTTCAGGGCTTTTAGATCATCTCCAGTCGCTTAAAACGGTGGAGCAGTAGCCATCCTAACAGCGGCCCGCTTCTAAACACGCCGTCTCCGGCTGCTTGCAGGGTTCTGCTTGGCCTCGGTCGCAAAATCGAAATGACAAACCCCTGTCGCTTGGGTTGAAGTCTTCGACACCCCTGGGCTCTCGGAGGTGAAGGTGAAACTCACCGCTTCCGAGTTTGGAGAGACCGGCATCGGCTCCCTGGCCGGGGGCCGCCCCTGGGCCGCTCTGTTTGCGTGTCCCTGCGTGCACAGCCCCACGGGCACCCACGCTTACAGTCTCACCTCTGCTCAGACGTTTGGACTCGTCCGTCATGGTGTTGTTGTAAAGCAGCCACTCCATCCTGGCTCCTGGGCGCGTTGGAGGGGGTCGCTGACCCCAAGCGGGGGCCCTTTGTTGGCCTAACGCCCCCATGAAGCGAGGGAAAGATGCGTCCCCCTTCTAAAGGATGCGCCCCGTTTCCAAGCGCGCGACTCCAGCATTATAAAAATAACCCAGTTTCCTCGGGAGGCCACGCTAATGCAGCCTCATTTTTGCGCCCTGTGCCAGAGTGCTTTTGTTCTCACGCATCTTCATGCCCTTCTCTCTTTAATTCCTTGCAGGTGTTGTTGCTAATGAGTCCTCCTCCCTCTTCCCGTGAAAGACAAGCCAGACTCTTGAGTACCTGCATGGGCTGAGCCGAAGTCCCCGAACTTCACAATAAGTTGCCAATGGCTACCAGCCAAGGGCAGCCAGCCCCGCCTCGCGCCCGTCCTCACAAGAGCAGAGCCAAATAAGCTTCTCCCCAGTTAGCAACCTCGGTCGCTTTTTGATGGTCCGGCCCAGCCTCACGAGTGCTGCCACTGGAAGTCCGCGCGAGAAGAAATCTCTTTTATTGGCCTGAGATGCCGCGCGCAGCCCCGTGGAGGCACATGTCGGCGGCGAGCGCGCCCGCCCCCTGATTTTTATTTTCTCTTTACGACACAGGCCCGAGGGCCGCGCTGCCGGTGGCGCTGGGCACATCACCCATGACGGGCCCTTCGGAGAGCTGGCCTGCGTGGAAGGACCAGAATTGAAGGCAGTCCGACCCGGCCCCATGCCAGGTCCCCGTGGGCTTCCTCCCTATCCCATTTCCACCCTCTGTCACAATTTGAGAGCCTGCCCGACTTGATCAGATTCGCCTCTGGGGGAGGTGCGATGCCAAGGTCAGGAGGACGCGGAGTCGTGGGCCACTTTCTGACCTGCCCGCCGGCAGCCTGAGAGACGCCGGGTCGGGGTTTTCCGTGCCGGCCTCTTGGAAAGAGTGGGCCCCTCGCCGTTCCCCCCTCGGCAGCCGCGCTCGCGTCCCCGGGACACCTGGCTCCCGTCGCCCGGCAGATGTGGCATTTCCATGCCGGGGCCGTCAGCGCCGCCTGACCCAGCCGCTGCTTCTCCGGGGCCTCTCCGCGCACTGTACAGCCATGCTGGGCCTGCTGGCTCTGCTCCTGCCTTGCCTCCCGCTGGCCTCGGGGGACTATGACATCTGCAAGTCCTGGGTGACCTCGGAGGAGGGCCCCACCTGGGAGTTCTACGCCTGCCAGCCCAAGGTGATGCGCCTGAAGGACTACGTCAAGGTGAAGGTGGAGCCCTCGGGCATCACGTGCGGAGACCCCCCTGAGAGATTCTGCTCCCACGTAAGTCAGCTCGCTGCCGTTGGGAGTGCTCGGGCCGATGGGGGCGTGGGGCCTGGGACGGACCCCTGCGATGGGCGAGCAGAGTGGGAGGAGCGGGTGCTAGGTTGGCCGTCCTGCATTTTGGATTGGGACCAGGTTTCTGCCCCGCCTCGGAAATGCGCCAAAGCCGAGGCCACCCTGAGGACTCTGGGGTCAGGTGACACCATTCTTCGGGTGGGGAAACTCTTAGCCAGCGGACCACTGAATCCTGCGCTCTGGGGACGACCACAGGTGCTGAAGTTCCAGCCTCGCAGATGCGCCCCGCCTCCCTGTGGGAAGTCAGCATTCTGGGCGAGTGAGCTGGGTGCCGTTCGCCACGCTACACTCTGCCCTCCCTCTGCTCTTGCCTCCTGCCCTGCGGCCTCCTGGCCCCGCCCCCCAGCCCAGCACACAGTTCTGCCGGGTCGGGGTATGCCAGGCACCGAGCGGGCACTGGGTGGGCGGAGGCGTGATGGAAGTGAGAGGGTCTGCGCCAGGGAGGGAGGGAGGAGGGGTCAGACCAGGGCGGGCAGTGTGTCCGGGGCCCCTCTGGATGCCGTCCCTGTGTGCCGCGGAGCACCCTGTACTCAAGCTATGGTGGCGGCAGCAAGACCGCCTCTGCACGCTCCAGGAGTCTGTGGGTGGGGCCTGACACCTGTCAGGCGGGAACCTCCCCTCCGCTCAGTCAGGGTGGTTCTGTAGGAGCTTCCGGGGGTGGCTCCGGACCCGTAGCGTCCCTGGGTCTCTGTGCCGTCTTCTGTAAAGCGGGCACCCAGCCGCACGCACTCCTGGTCATTGTAAGGAGAACATGCACTCATTTATGCGTGTGAAGTGCTGGGAGTGGGGCTGGGCACCAAGCGAGGGCCCCCAGATGGCAGCCGTTGCCGTTCCCATCACACAGGTGGAGAAACTGAGGCTCAGAGTTGCACACCAGGAAGGGGTAAAACTGGGAGTCAGGTGTCCGGGCCCAAAGTCGCTGAGCCGACAGCCTGTCTGGAGGAGCCGTCGCCACTGGGCCCGGTGCCTGGCAAGGGACCAGGCAGGAGCTTACGGGAGGGGCTCAGTGTCATCCTTGGGGTGTCTGCTGCCTCCATGGCCCTGGGGGAGCCACCCGGTCTGTGGGTGTGTAGCTGGGCTGAGCCAGTGTCCCTACCAGGCTCCTGAGGGGGCCTCAGTCCCAGGGGACACGGCGGTCCCCTCCCAGAGCAGTCAGCCCAGCTGGGTATTGGCTGGACTGAGGAGAGAGGGTGGGGGGGAGGGAAGGCTGGGGGCTGGGGGCCGCAGTCCATGGGGATCACTGCACTGGGGTCCCCAGAGCTCCACTGGCTCAGACACAGGCCAGGAGGCTGGTCCCTCAAGGTCAGAGGCAGGGCCAGGGGCAGCCCAGCTCTGAGCCTGCACCTCAGGCTGGCCGTCCACCCAGCTCACGTGAGGGCTTCGGCGCACGCTCCCGGGGCAGAGGCAACCTCTGCCTCTCATGTTAGAGGCTTGACAATATCGCTTCTGTTAAATATTAATCGTTGCCTTAATGTGCTGGGGGAGGGATGGGGGCGGGGCAGCTGAATCATACTTCACTGGACCAGCTTCTAGTCAAAGGACTGGAGGCGTGGAGATGACCATCAGATGCAAGTCTGAGGGCCTCTCCTGGCCAAAGCTGGCTTGGATGCCCTGGGCCCTGGACCTCCGCCTTCACCCGGAGAACCCGGTGTTGCTGCCGGGGTTGGGGGTCGCCCCACAGTCCAGCCTGAGCCCAGAGCCTGGGAAGAGGCTTTTGATTCCGCCTGCTTCTCCCCTGGGCAGACAGACAGGCGAGGGGGCAGGCGGGGGAGGCGGGGGAAGAAGAAGAAATCTGACGCCTCCCTCGCAGGTGGGCCCTCGGTGCCTGGACACCTGTCTGCGGGACTCCAATGTCCCACGGCAGTCGATGGCCACGCGCAGGTCGCCAGGGCGGGCCGCCACCTCGTCAGGTGGAAGGCATCCTTCCTTGGGAGGGGGGCCGGCCTCCGGCTCCTGCAGACAGGAGGGGTCCCGCCCAGGTGGGCTCACCCCCGATGCCGCTGTGGGTTGCAGTCTCTCCCGAGCGGGTCCTGTGCGTGTCTCCTTAACGGTCCCCCGGATGGGCTGGGGCGGGGACTGTTCTAATCCCAGTGTAAGGATTAGCAGGTGCCGTCTAAACGCGGCCAAGGTCACTGGTTTAGAAGGCAGGCTGGGAGCTGGGGGCGTACCCACCAGGCGGCCCAGTGCCCCCTCTCCTAGCTCCAGCCTCGTCCTCCGTCATCGTGGGGGGAAGGATGCAGCCCCGGCGTGTGTGTCCTGGGTACAGTGCCGGCACATAGTAGGTGCTCAGTGTGTGGCAGCTGTCATCCGCTTCGTTTTGTAGTCATTCCGCCCTTGGTGGCGTCCCTGCTTTTTCTTCTTCGCCTCCCTTCTGCCCGGAGGAGGCCACGCCCTGTGTCTCCAGCCTCAGGACTGCAGCAGAGGGAGCGTGCTCCGGCAGCTCAAGCTCCTCCAGCCACAGCCCGTGTTCCCAACTGGCCGCCAGGGGGCGCGCTAATGGTAGCTGGGCGGCCCACTGCCCCCTTAACCTGGCCATGCCAGGTCGGGTCCCCATTCCCAGGCATCCCTCCTGCAGCCGGTTCTGGGCTGTCCCCACATCCCACCAACTGGAGCGGGAGCCCCAGAGCACCCCGAGAGTGCAGAGGGGCCACGGGGCGGCTGCCCGTTCCAGGGTTCGGGGCGCAGGGTTCGGGGCGCAGGGTTCGGGGCGCAGGGTTCGGGGCGCAGGCTCCGCCTCGCCCCAGGCTGTGTCCTTCCGCAGAGCCACCTGAGAACCGAATTGTAAATTCCAGCCTGGTGAGGAAGGGGCGGGGGAAGGAAGACTAAGATAAATGAATAAATAAAAACCGATTGGCTCTAAATGCACAATGAGAATTAATAGGGATGCCCTGTCAACCGAGAGTTCGCAGGCAAGGGAGAGAGCTCAGCGGGGCTGCAGGGGAAGGGAGGTGCCCGCCACCCCGTGATTCGCAGGGCCTGGCCGGCGGGGCTGCAGGGCGGAGGACGGGAGGGGGAGGCGGTGCCCGGAGAGGGCTCTCGGCCCCTGAGGGCAACTGCCACACCCGGACCCCCCTAGGGTGCCCGTGGGCATGAGGAACAGCCCCACAGTGCTCCGGAACAGAGGGGACCACCACCCTGAAAGGGGGGAACCCTTTCCTTGTGTCTCTGAGACGAAAGCTAATAACCCTTGAGCTTCAGGAGAGAGCTGGTGAGGAAGGAGGGAGGGGGGGGAGAGAGAGAGACAGAGAGAGAGAGAGAGAGATGCCGGCACCAGCTGCAGACCAGACCAGGCAGGCAGTGTTCAAAGGGAGCCCCCAGCCACCAACCTGCGACCCGAAGTGTGGTCCTCGGACCAGGCGCGGGGCCTCCCCTCGTTGGAAATGTGGAGTGCCGTGTCCCGCCCGGGACCTGTCCCCACTCTGCCTTCTGGCCCCAGAGCCACAGAGGAGAGCATGGGACGGTCCCGGCAGCCTCTCCCCTCTCCCAGTCCCACCTCTCCGGCCGGCAGACCTGAGGTCGACCTCACGCCGGACACAGGGGGCAAGGCAACAGGAAATGACTCCTGCAGGGCCAGGTCAGCAGCAAGAGGGACACCGCAGACAGCAGGGACAAAGGGGGGGCCCTTCGTCCCACCCCACCACAGCCCCCTCAATGCCCCCCCTTGGCTGTGCCCAGGCCGTCCCCTTCACCCGCAACACCCTCCTTTGCTTTCTTCCTGCGGCCCCCCCATTCACCTGGGTGACCCCGCTCAGCGTGGAGGTTTGGGTGGGACTCCGCCTCCTCCAGGAGGCTTGCCCTGACTGCCTGGCCCAGGCGGGTTCGAATGTCCCCGTCTGGGCACGCCCCTGTCATTGTTCTCACTGATGTGGCCTGACGGTCAGCGCTCAGGCCCCCGGGCTGGACAGGTGGAGGTGGGCATCCCGTGCTGCGTGACCTCTGGCATGAGGCCTAACCTCCCGGAGCCTTTTCCGCTTAAACGGGGGCTAGTCACAGAACACACCCACGGGACGGCCCTGAGCACCGCGCCTGCCTGGCACCGGGGAGATGCTTGTTCTTGCTGGTTCTCCTATTCCTGACGGCTGCTCCTGTTTGGCTTGTGAGCCCCTCAGGGGGCGGGGCTGTCTTGTTCGTCTTTGCCCCCCGCCCCCCCGCCCTGCTTCTTGGCCCAGCCAGGGCTCAGACAGCGTTTTGCGGAGTGAATGGGCGAGCCGGAAGGGCAGGGAGGTCCAGGGAGGCCTTGCGGACGAGGGAAGGCCAGAGCCGAGCCTTGCAGGGAGCGCCAGGGCCCCCACTGGCCCCCGAGGCCTCTGCTCCGTCCTCGAGTGCCCCCCCACCCCCCGTTCTGTGGGGGGGTCCTGATCAGATGACACCGGGAGGCCTGCACAGCTCTGTCCTCAAGCAGGAAGTGACTTTGGAACCTGAGCTTCCCCCAACCCTTCGTTTTACAGCTGCTCAATGTCTGGAAACGCCTGAGGCAGGGCCCAGCTGAGGACAAGAATAGTTCCATGCATGACATCTTGTTGCACAGGGAGGTGACAGGACGGGGCGGCTCTGCCCGCGAGGTCTGGGGCGCAGGAGGGAGCCCTTGCCCCTGACTCTTCTGAAGAGGGCGGGTCTGGGCCCAGAGCTGCTCGGAGAGCAGGGGGCGGTACGAGAGGAGGGGGCGGTGCGGCTGGAGCGCCAGGTGGGGGAAGGAGAAAGGGCCTGGGGAGACGTCTTTCCAAAGAGAGTCAGAGACTGCGAGGTTCTAGAACTTTCCAGTAAACGTAGTCGCACCTTCCCCAGGCTCCTCTTCCTCTTCTGTGTCTACGCTCCCCAGCCCTGGTTTCTGGTGCATCTCCATTTTTCTCCAGGTGCGCCGAGGCGGGGGATGGGGATGGGCAGACAGGCCGGCTGCCCCCCAAGAGGGACCGGGCTGGGGGGACGAGAACTCGGGGTTTGGGATGGGGCCGAAGGGGCTCATGCTTCTCCCGCCTCTCGGGGTTGTGGCTCTGGGACTCGGTTTTCTTCACCTGAAAGTGGGGGCGGTGCCAGGCGCGCCTCGAAGGCAGCTCCTGCCAGTCGGTGGGTGGAGCAGGCGTGCGAGAGGCCTCGGTGGGGTGCCTGGCGCCGAAAGATGACCCGAAACTCAGGAGCTTTCCTCGACCCTGGAACGCAGCTTGAGAGGCAAGGGGAGCAAAAGCAGAAAGCGCAGGCCGAAGCTGATCCCCTCGGCCAGGCGTGGAACGTGGGGGAGGGTTTCGTGGGCGCTGGCGGTCCCGGGGGCCTGGCCACCGGGGTGGTCTGGGGTGGTCCGCGGCCTTAAAGGGCCGGAAGGATTCAGAGGAGCGGCGGCCCCGGGCGGAAGCAATGGCGTGAGCACAGACATGGAGGAAGGGGGTCCAGGTGACATGCGGGGGGTCGTGTGGGTGACCGGGACAAGCTGCTCCACTACTCTGCTCCTCAGAGCCACGGGCGTGGGACGTTGCAGTGCCATTTGATGGATGACCAGGGCGAGGCTTCCCAGGCCCCCTAAACGGCTCAGCCTCCCTCCGTCCGGCTGGAAGCCAATCTCTAGGGTCTGGGGCAAGGCCAAGGGTGTGGCTGCAGGGAGAGGAGCAGGGGACAGTGGGCCGGGCCGGCAGAGGCCTGGGGGCCCACAGGGCATGGAGGGCCCCGAGGCTGGACAGGGCCTGGCCGCCTCAAAGGACCAGCTCTGGGACCCAGCCGTCGCCGCCCCAGGAGCAGCCCAGGCTGCAGAGCTCTGTCCCCATCACACGGCCCACAGCCCCGCTCCCCTGCCTGGGGCCGGGCCCAGCCCACGTGGCCCCCAAGGGTGCCGGGCTCCTTCCCGGGGGGGCCCAGAAAGTGGGACACGGCAGATGAGGCAGGAGCCGGTTCTGTTCGCCTTTGGTTTACGGGTTCCGATTTGTTTTTCCTCAGCATCAGATTCGCTGAAATATATGAAAATGTGCTTCTGATTCCCCGAGCACACGCCAACTGTTGGCAGGGGACAGGGCAGCACCTTAGAGCAGAGCCGGCGCTGGCTGGGAGCCGGCCCCCTCTCAGCGGGGGCGGAGTCTCCCGCTGCCGGGACACCAGGCCACGCCCCCGGCCTCAGTGTCCCCAGCTGTGCGATGGTGCTGGGGTTTGGCCAGATGAACCAGCTCCTGGGTGACTGATGGCCAGATACACCCTGGGGTTGGGGGGTAGCGCAGGCTGGGGTTTAGCCCTGCTCACAGACGGACAGGAGAGGGGACTCCAGGCACAAAGCGGTGTTCCGGTGTGAGTCCTGTCCCCAGCGCAGGCAGGGTTCAAGTTCAAATTCCTTTACCATAGTATTCTCATAAATGAACATCAAAACAAAGACCAAGCCAAGTGCTACACAATACAATGCGACGTCACAAAGAATCTGAATTGTCTTTCATGTTAATGGCTGCCACGCCCACACAGCACCGTGCTGGTCTCTGGCCGCCAGAGTGACGATTTGGGGTGCCGCACCTGTGTTGCCGCAGGGCCGCCGGCACCGCCGGTTCAGTTAGCGCCTGGCACCGTGCGTGGTTGAAACATGTTTTCTGTGATGAAGCATTTTAAAATGTTTTCTTTAATTTTTAAATGGAGGTGAAATTTACGTCACACGAAATTAACCCCTGAAAAATTTTATTGCTGTAAGAAAAAAATGTGTGTGTGTGTAACATAAAATTTGCCTTTGCATCCACTTGTAGGCGGGCAGTGTCCTAACACTGAGTACGCTACCAAGCTGTGCAACCACCGCCTCTGTCCACCCCTGGGCAGGACGTCCAGTCCCCACTGGCGGCCACTCCCCAGTGCTCCCTCCTCCCGTCTGGGGATTCGCCCTTTCCAGATGCTTCACACACAACTCGGGGCTTCTGGGCCTGGCTCCTTTCCCTCGGCATCCCGCTCCCACGGTTCCTCCGTGGGGCAGCAGTGGTTGGCCGGCACCCACTCCTCCTCGTGGCCGAGTGGTACCCCCCCCCCCCGCACCGTCCTCCGCAGCTTGCTCATCCGCCATCCGCCGAAGGACCCTGGGTTGTTCGCGCTTTTTGGCCGTCATGCATCAAACTGTCGTGAACATTTGCGTATGAGGTTTTTTATGTTTTCCTTTCTCTCGGGTAGATACCTAGGAGCGAAATTGCTGGGTCAGACGGTGATTTTTGTATTTAAGCATTTGAGGAGCTGCCAAAGTGTCTTTCCGCAGCGGCTGTACCTCGTCCGCCCCCATCGGCCCCGCCCAAGGCTCCGGTGCCCCGCATCCCTGCCAACACTTGTTATTTTCCATCTTTTACTGTGGCCGACCTAGTGGGTGAGAAGCAGCATCTCGCTGTGGTTCTGAGCTGCATTTCCTGAACAGCTGACGATGCTGGGCCCTGTCCGCTTACTGGCCACTTTGTATGTCTTTATAGAAACTTCTCTTCAAGTCCTCTGCCCACTTTTTCACTGGGCTGTCGGTCTCTCTGTCGCTGAGCCGTCCGTGTTCTCTGTGTGCTCTGGGTGCCAGGCCCGCGTGCGCCATGATATGGAAACTCCCCCCACCCCGCCCACCCAGTCCACAGGGGACCTTTCGCTCTCTCCACAGCTGAGCGCCGTGTCCATGCGGCCCTCCCAGACCCCCTGCACGGCGGAGACTCTGCTTACATCTCATTGTCCCCATTTCACAGATGTGGGGACTGAGACTCCAACACTGAGTGGCAGAGCCCAGGCTCCAGCTCAGACCCTGGTCATTTAACCACGGGGCCACGTGCTCACCCCGGCCTCTCCCCTCACGGATGTGCGTGTGTGGACACATGCAGATGTGTACACATGTGCACACAGGAGCACACATGCACACAGGAGCACACATACACGTGCATGCACACACATACAACACGGAGCTGCGAACACTGGCAGGGCCTCCCAGATCATCGCCCTGCTGCCCCTGTGGGCCCTGCGGACCACCCTGCGGACCACCCTGCGGACCGGCCCTCTCTCGGGGCATCTTTACAATCGAGATGTTGTCGTGTGCGGCTGTGTGTGTGTGCGCGGGCGGCCGTTTGTGCCCAGGGAGCGTCCTGTCCTTGCCAGCCCGTCTTCCTAGCCCAGCGCAGGGTGGGGGAGGGGTGCCGGGTCTTCCCCCACCCCCGCCCCGGGAGACGGGGCAGAGTCTGCGAACCTGTTTCCTTCACGGCACCCGGCAGCGTGTTCGCTCCCACGTACCAGCTCTGGGGACGGCAAGACGGCTTTGCCCGGGGCAGCCTGACCTGTTTTTCTGGGGAAAAGTGGGGGGGGGGGAGTGCGCCCAACAAGGGACAATATCGGACCTAAAAGTAGAGGTGGAGGGAGCGGCAGGGAGGGGTGGGGGGGTGGCGTCTGCCTTCCATGTGGCCTGTCTCTCTGGAACCAGGCGGCCCCCCACCCCATGCAGGTCCCCAAGGGTCTGGCTTCTCTCAGCCTGGGCCAGGGGCATGGGACAGAGGGGAGGCTGGAAAGGGAGCTGGGGAGCCAGGTGCCACCCCAAGATGGAGAACTGTCCCACCGCAGGGTGCTGGAGGCCTTGGCCTCAACCTTGGCTGCACAGTGGGGTCTCCCAGGGAGCCGTCATCTGCTGGCTGCTGGGGCCGAGACCTGTCCCCGAGGGCCTGATGTGGTTGGCGGCGGCAGCAGGACAGGGGGATCGTACTCTGTGGCTTCCTCCTCTCCTGTGCTTCTTGAAGGCCCGAGCCTGGTGGGAGCTGGGCCCCCGGAGTGGAGAAGGCAGGGCTGGGTTGTGTGAGCCGGACTCTGCCAGGCCCTGTCCCACACGGGGGTCCTCAGAGGGCTGCATGGGGGAGTCCAGGAGCTCGAGGCACTCCCCACCCAGGCTGCGTGGCCTCTGGGGGGCACCTGGGCGTTGGGATTTGTTACAGCACCACCACCACCCCCAAGCTGGCCACCAGCAGTCTCCCCAGGACTGTGCCGGCCCCTTCCAGCCTTAAGCATGCTGCTGCTGGTTCAGTTCAAAGTCCCGAGGGGGAGAGTTTGCTCTCAGAACCCTTCCTGGTGTCTGAGCTGCAGACACCCCACCCTTGCTCTGGCCCCCTGGGGGCCTGGGGGTGCCAGCTCCCTGCTTGCCCTTTGTGCCCAGGTTCTGCACCTTTCTTCCTGGGCGGGCGCTGGCGGCCAGCCTCAAGGCCTTCCTGCAGCTGCTGCTCGTCAGGTCTGCCAGCTCCAGGCCCCTCCCGTGGCCTTGTCTCTTGTGCACGCCACCAGGCTCCTGGCCTAGCCTAATGCATTAACCCTTCTCTCCCTGTAGCCTATTGCATGTCTGATCTGGCCCCTTCGCTTGGCCCCACTCTACGTGGGGAACCCTCCTCACAGCCTGGTCCATCGGCCTCCACCTGTGCATATCCAGCCCACCCATGCTTGCAAGCCTGTCCTCCTGAAATCTCACCACCCCCAGGAAGCCTTCCGGGTTTGTTGTCCATGCCACTCACAGCACCAAGCATGAGGGACTGGTCTGGTGGTCATGGCAACATGGTCAACACCCCCCCCCATAAGGGGTCAGAGGGTCCAGGTTCCCAGATGTGTGCCTGGCCCCTGGGGGCCTCCGTCCCTCACCTATAAAGTGGGGATGACAGCTGACATTGTGGTCCAGGAGCCTTTCCTTGGATCACTGTACTGGGCTCCCCAGCCTGCCCAGGCACCTGAGTCACCTCAGAGGGTTTTTCTTGGTTGCTTCGCCGGATGGTTGGCTTGCTTGCAATCTGGAGCAGAGGTTCTGGCCCTGGGTCCAGGCATGCTTTCACACCCCTCCCCTTCCCTGGGACTGTGAGGGGCGACCAGGCCTGATCGCTGCTTCTCCAGGGCTGTTTCGCCCACAGAAGACATGCAGAAACAGTTGATGAATGAATACGTGAGTGAATGAATGAATGTATGAATGAATATGTCCTAGTTCAGCATGGCCACTCCCGCCCTCGCCAAGGGCTTCATCCAGAGTGACGCACCTGTCCAGGTGTGCCCAGGTGTGGGGCAGGGCCAGAGACTTCTTACCCTCTGCCCCCCCACCCAGGGGGGAAGTGGCTTCAATAGTAAAATAATCCCTAAGAATTGTGTGTGCAGTTTGCAGACACAAAAGATCACTGCACAGTCCCCTCAACCAGGGGCTGACCGTGCAGCAAGAGGCGGCTGGGCCGAGCGGGCCCTCCAGAGCACGTGGGAGCCCCGGCCCCCCTGCGCCTCCCTGACCTTGGGCGTGAGATCGGGACTGTGCCTTACCTCATGAGGTGGCCACGAACAGAGAAAATGAACTTTCACGTGGAAGATCATCCCCGCGAAGTCTGGTGAGATGCAGTTCTCACTGTGGAGGCTTCCGGAAGGAAAAGGGGACAGGGTGGGAGAGGCGGGCAGAGCCAGGGGCGGTTGGGGGCTGGACTTCATCCAGAGCGGGGTGGCTCTGGGACCCAGCAGGGCGGCTGAAAACACACGGGTGGCTTCTAAAGGACATCTGGTGGCCGGGGAGGGCGGGGGGGCAGGGAGAGGCAGAGGAGATCAAGCTTCCACCTCACGCCCCTGTGGGTGGACTCCCCTTGCAGGGCGTCCCCGCACCAGCCCTGGGCCTTTCAGGCCTCAGCCAGGCCCCATTGTTCTGCTTCTCAGGAAGAAGGCCAAGGACACCTCTCAGGAAAGCAGAGGGGGCTCTGCAAAGGCCCCGGGGACCCGGGGACAGGCGGCCGCCCTCCTGGAGCGCTCCAGCCAGACCCTGGGAGGGGCCCCGGCCGCCCTGCCCCCAGCCCTCCCCCCTCCGCAGCGTTCAGAGCCTCCGCGCCGCTCTTTTTCGCTCCGTGATAAAATATTTATGTCAGCAGGCAGGCCCTCTCTGGGAAGGCTGCCTGCGTCTAGCGTATGCTCTGCACGAGCTTTTAAAGAGCAGGACGTTTTTCCTACTCTCTAAGCATTTTCTGAGTCCAGAATCAATAATGCACTTTGCGGGGCCGCTCTTCCTCCGCGCCCACCCCCCTCGCCCCCACGACGGCTCTCCTTTCCTCTCGCCTCTCTGCCTTTCCTTCGGCTCTCCTTTCCTTCTTTCATCCTTCCCTCTCTCCTAAGTTAGTTTTATTTACTTACAAAACAATTAAATGGGAGCGTGGAGCTGTTTGGGTGGGGAGGCTCCAGGGGGTGGGGGAGGGGGAGGGCCGGAGAGAGGCCAGGGCACCCCCTGCAGGCCAGCTGCTGGGGGAGCAGGTTGGGCCGGCGGGCTGCCCTCTGGCCCTGGTCGGGAAGCTCTGGAGCTCCGGCTGGGGAGGAGGGCTGGGGCTAACCCCGCCTCCTGCTCTCCTTTTCCTAACCACTTAGCAAGTGTTTGCAGCATAACCAGAGAAAACAGGACTAACGCGTAGAAGAAAGGAGCCTAGAGTGAAGAAAATATGGGGAATGTGAACTGGAATCTATCACCAAGCTTTCTGGGGAGTGAGCGGTTCAGTTTGGCCACTCTGTGTTTTTTTGTGGTAATGAGTTCCCTGACACTAGGGGTATGCAAATGGAGAGAGAGCCATCCCTTCTCTGAGACACACGCCCACATGCATCTGGTCTGCTCAGTGGTACCAGGTGCAGAGCTGGGGTGTGGAAGTCACCTGTGGGGGGAGGGGCACAGGGGTCAGTCAGGACAGAACTTCCCACCCCAGACATTCCTAAAAATCTGGCTGTTGTGCCCAGGACAAACTAGAATGCATCCTTTTTATTTTTTTAAGGAATAAAATTGCATTTCCTGGAGAGAGTAACCCTTGTCTGGCCAGAGCCTTGGCAAGACCCCAGCCTGCCCCCTCTGGCCGTTCCCCCTGCCCTCTGACCTGGGCTTCCCCCTGGGACCCTCCCCTGGACAGCCCAGGGCTCCCCACGAAGGCCGGAGGGCCCTGGGAAAGGCTCTGTGGGCGGAGCCAGAGCTGCGGGGAGCAGAGGGGCCCCCACTCAGCCAGCTGCTTCCTGCTCCCCTGACTCAGTGACTGCACGGCCCCCCGGGGTGATGCCAGGCCAGTCGCCTGCTGTTCTCGAGTCTAGGCTCAGACAGAAGGTTCTAGAAGGAGGTCTCCCTTTTCCCCCCAAACGACGTGGGGAACCGCTCTGGGCACTGAGATGCGATTCCTTCCATTAGGGCCAGGCCTGCGGGGTTCGTGAGGCCACTGAGACTCCGGGTCCTCGGCGGACCTCTGCCCTGCAGGCGTCCACAGGGGCTGGTCAGGGTCGAGGCCATCACCGAGGCTCTGGAGGCTGTCCGCCAGGGACAGCGAGTCCCGGGGAGGCGACTGGCCCTGGCTCGGGGCCCTTCCCCGCCCGAGGAACGGAACGGTCGGGCTGGGAAGACCCGGCTCCGGTGAGAAACAGAACCCAAGAAAACGCCCAGAAAAGCCAGGCAGGTCAGTCTCCGCAGGTCCCCAGCAGGGAGCTGTGACCTTGCCGGGGCGGCTCCAGAGGGAAGGGCAGAGAAACCGGTGGGCGGGGAAGGAGTTCAGGGCGGGAGCAGGAATCAATGAAACCAGAGGGAGGTGGGGGAGAGGGAGCGGGTGGGGAGACGGAGAGGAGGGGGGAGGGGAGAGGCAGAGACCGAGCCGGTCAAGGCATCTAGAATTAGAATCTGCCCCGGCAGACTCTCCGCTTCCGCTTTGTTAATAATTCATCCCCACTGCAACTTTTCTTACCAATAAATAGGAAATCGTTTGTCAGGGAGAATTCCCCTGGCACCGCGCTCTCTCTCCCCGGAGCAGGGGAGGGGGGGCTGTCTCCGCTCCCGTCCCCCCCAGGGACCTGGGGACCCAGGCTCTGCCACGTGGGGAGGTCACTGCCAGAACTCAGTCGTTTCATGAACGGGGCAGCCGAGGAGGAGGCAAGGAGAGGGCACAGCCCTGCCCAGGGGCCCACCAGGGGTCAGGGACCGTCCCCCCCAATCCTAACCCCAGGCCCTCCTGGGTCAGGGTACCTATTACAGAGTTGCAGGCCCCGCCTTTGCTGCTGCTGGTGCCACCTAGCCTCCCCTTCGGTGTCGCCGCACCCCAGTGATGGGGCGCTGGCCGCGCTGCCTGTCCCTCCCCTCTGCCCCTCCATGCCCTCCCACCTCCAGCCCCCCGCGGAGGTGGACAGGGCTGAGGAAGAGCCACAGACAGGGTCAGAAAAACCCGTCGGCCGCTGCACCGCTCCCTGGGCCTGCCCACACGCCTCCGCGGCAGCACCGGAGGCCGCCGTCCTCCCATGGAAGCCGGTCTCCGAGGGGCAGGGCCCGGGGTGGGCGGCAGCATCCCGTCCTGTTTGGGTGAAGGGCACCGTTCCCCGACTTGTCTCCGAGCCTGGCTGCCTGGCTCCTTGTCCCACGTCTGCCACCACGGAGGAGCGGTGTGGCCTTGAGGTGGTCCACCTCTCCTGGCCTGTGGGCCGTGAACAGCCGGACCCCGCTCCCCGGGCAACCCCGCGCGGTGTGTAACTCAGCCAGGGCCTCGCCTTTGCTGACGCCACGGGCCGGGGACGGTCACGACGCTGTCTCCCTGCCTCCGCCACACGTGGGCTGGGCCTGGAGCACACCGGCCACGTGGCATCGAGTGTCGTTCTTTCTCAGCCCGATGAGGTCAGCGTTCTCAGCCTTCCCGGGATTCCACTCAGTGGACAGAGCTTTCCGGGGTGAGTGCCCAGGCAGTGCCAGGGGCCGGGGGCAGCGAGGAAGGAGGCGGAGGAGGCCACTGTCCTCACGGCGCTTCCCCTCCCTCCGGGTGCAGAGCTGGTGTGGCCGGTGGGTGGCTGCGCCGGTTCCCTCCCTGCTCGCCGGCTGCTGCCCAGGTCCCCAAACCTGCCTCGTCGGGGTGCAGCAATTGTGAGGTTCTGTCCTGACGCAGGTGTGAGAAAACACTTGTCCTTCCTCCCCAGACTCTGTCCCAGTTCCCGGGACGGCCCCTCCACGGGTGGCGGGGTCAGGGGCCCAAGGCCCACGCAGCCAGACTCCCAGGGGCGCGGTTACCTCCGTGCCTGCCGACAGCGACCTTCCCACTCAATTACACGTTTGCCGGCAGCCTGTCTGCGGTGTTTACAGCCTGGCCTCTGGCTCCCACCGCACCCTTCGCGCAGAAAACAACATCAAAGCAAGAACATTTAAGGGACCGTCAGGAGGTCTGAAAAGAGTGGCAGGAAATGGCTTCTCCACAGAGCTGAGCCTCTGAGGGTCCGTGGAGGCAGCAGAGCTGCAGATGGAAGGGACACGGTCTCCCCAAGGTGCCCTGGGTTGGGTCCCCCCCATGCCCCCAGTCCAGAGGAGATGAGGAGGGGCCGTCAAATGCTCGCCTCCGGTCTGTGGATTGGAGATAAGGCAGGGAGGTCCCGGGCGTCGCTGGGAGCAGGTGTGAGGAAGGCGAGGGGCCCACCCAGCCCAGCTGGGCGCAAGGCTGCCACTCAGTAAACATCGTGACGGTCACCTGGTCACCTTCGTCCCAGCCAGCAGTAGTCCCCAGTGTGCCGTTCCGGCTTTCCCACTGGGGCTCCTCAGCCAGTGCATGCAACACTGCTGTTAAATAGTCACTGCTGCCAGCTGGGGACACTTTCTAGGCATTTCATACACAGTATCTCTCACGAGATAGTGGATGAGAAAATACAGACTCAGAGAGGTAAAGCAACTTTCTCCAGGTCACACAGCTTCAAGGGGAGGAGCTGAGGCAGAATCCAGGGCCTTCTGATCCAGAAGCCCATTTCTTTAACTGCTCCAGACCCCAGAAAAGGGGTCCCCAGCTGTGGACAGGGAGCTCCACCTACCCCCCTGCATCTGCACAGACCATGCGGTGCATTACATTTTTCTGGAGAAAGCTCCGAGGCTTTTTTTCATCAGGGGTGTGATGTTTTTATATATATTTTTGGTGATATTCATGAAATGTCTCAAGAAACAGTTAACCGCTTTTGAGAATATCAAAGGTCGGCCCTGGTGCCTTCTGAAAGGTCGCACGTGTGCCTCCGCCAGTCCTGGCGTTGTCCCTGGTGGAGGCCACTGGCTGGGACTGTTTGTTTCATCATGAAATCCGATCCCATGGGCACAGGAGGTGGCAGAGGCTGACTGCCCCCCCCCCCAGCCTGGCAGCTGTCAGATGGAGGTGGGGTGGTCCACCCATGTCCTGTCCCGGGTTGCCTCCAGCACAGCCCTCCCAGCACAGCCCTGCCAGAACCTTCCGTGGGAGCCACACCCCGAGCTCCTAAAGGGTTAATGGGACTCCGAGGTCCTGGGGCCGGAGGGCGGTGGAAGGAAGGAGAGGGGAGGCCCGTTGGCCACGGCTGGGGATTTATTTATTGTGCTCGCTCTGCAGCCGGCGTGGGCTGGAAACACACGGCCTGATTCATTAGTTTCTGACCATCTGCTTCCCGGAGTGGGGACGGGAGCGGGGGCCGGGGGGCCCTGCAGGTTAGGGCAGTCAGCCAGGCCGGAGCCCCCGTCCCCTGGCAGCACCGGCCGTGTCAGTCTTCGTGGTGACAGACAGGCTGGCGAGGCCGGCGTCTGCGAGGGGTCCGATGTCCCCCAGCGGGCCCTCCCGGAGGTGGGGCAGGGGGAGGGGAGGGGAGGGGAGGGAAGGCAGGGGGACAGAGGAGGACTGGGGGAGAACGATGAGGTGGGGGTGCCTCACGGCAGTTAGTGGTGGACAGAAATAATACCAGCAATCAACTAGATGTCTTAACGTTAACCTATTTGTTATTGTATCAACAACTAATTAATATGATGACGGTTTAACAACTAAAATTGAATGAGCGGCCATGGAGGTCCAGGCCACATGTGGAGACTTCATGACCCTGTCCCAGATAAGCACACTGCACCCCCTGGTGGATGATGAGGGAATTGGCCTGAAAGACCCAGTCAAGCAAGGAAGGCTTCCTGGAGGAGGGCTCCAAGCACTGGGAGGAGGGAGCGCAGGCTCAGAGGCGAGAGGGGACGAGGCAGCTGGGGAAATGGCGCAGCCCTCGGTACTGTGCTCACGAGTTTCCCGGGGGACCAGGAAACAGCACCTGGTGACGGCGTGCTGAGAAACGGGGCTCATGGCGGAGGCCCCAGCGAGCGCTTCCGGGGAACTTACCAGAAAGTCACGGTTCTGGCCCGCCCCTGGGCCACCCCCCCCCCCCGTGGCCCCCCTGGGACGAGGCCTGCCTTGGTTTGCTAGGGACTCGGCGGTTAGTTACCCAGCAGATTCACTTTCTCAGGTTCTGGAGGCTTCCAGTCCAAGGTCAAGGTTCGATGGGCCCTTGAAGGCCAAGGCAGGGTTGGCTGCTTGTGAAGTCTGTCCTCTTGGCTCAGTGACGACCAAGGAGCGCCTTCTTGCGCCTCTTCGTGCGATCTTTCCCGTGCACACACGCACCCCCGTGTGTCTCCGGGTGCCCAGATTTCTCCTCCTTGCGGGGGCACCAGTCGGGCTGGGCCAGGCCCGTGCTGCGCACCTTGTCAGTTTGCCCCCCACCTTAGGGGCCCATCTCCAGTACAGTCCACGGCGAGGTGCTGGGGTTAGGGCTCCACGGTGTGAATGGCGGGGGCGGGGGGCGGGGGGGGGCGTGGACACAGGCTAGCCCCTAACCAGGCGCCAGGGGCAGCAGGAGGAGGTGGCCTGGGGCTGCGGGAAGGACGGTTGCCGGCTAGAGGGGACCGGGCGCGTGCTGACCTGGCTGGGCACCATGCCCTCCTGCCCCTGATGTCTCGGCGTGAACTCGGGGGGAGCTGCTCCGTGCTCCCTGCTCCCTGAGAGACACAACTGCAGCCTCTCCCGCCCCTGGGCTCAGGGTGCCCCCGCCCCCCCCCCCCACTGCAGGCTGGCCAAGCGTCTGGGGAGGGGACCGTGCATCGCAGGCAGGCCTGCCTCCCCGCCCCAGCGAGAAGCCTCATCTCTGCAGGCCACCGAGCCACCCCGTGGGGCCTCTCACCCGCCCCGCCCCCCATTCAGGGCCCCCAGCTCAACCCTGAGGCAGCTCAGACCTCCTGCGGCCGAATCAGGCCCCTCTGCCTGCCGTGCTGTGTGTGAGGTCACCAGCGTTTGGGGACACCCCTGAGGTTTTCTGGGACAGGAGCAGGCTCTCCCTCGGAGAGAACAGCATGGGCCTCGGTTTCCCCCCGGTGTTCAATGGGGGTCGGACTCAGTAGTGAGCCCCGTCAACCCTGAGCCCTCTGCGGTCCCAGGAATCACAGGCCTGGCCAGGTGGGGTGAGCAGTGGCGGCACGGGGGGGGCCAAGGGCAGAGCTATTTCGGTCAAGGAGGCCTTTATGGAGATCGCCGCAGTCACCCCCAGGGCCGGCCTGCCCACCACGGGGCCCAGGGCGGGCTGGGGACACATCTGCCCCCAGAGGGATCAAAGGTGGCATCCTGGGGCTGAGGCAGGGACAGGTGTGTGCCGCCCGGCCCCTCGGGAGGCGGGAGGCGGCGCCCCCCACCCCCAGCCCCCAGGAGCCGAGTGGCTCATTGGAGAGGGAGCAGCTTTAACTCAGATCCAAGCCACTTGTCACGGAGCAAACGGGGGACCTGAAATATTCATCAAAAAAGCCGCGAGTGGTCCGGGAGCTGTGCAGTTCTTAGTGACGGGTTTATTTTTTAATTAGCAGACTGTAGCTCTGAGAGCAGTTTTCTGTGTGCGGACGTTGAGCAGACAGTCTGGACAGCCCCAGCTCGCTGTCCGCCAGGCAGCCTCCCCTCCCTCGCCGGCCGCCGGGGCGTTTGCTCCCGCTGGCGAACCAGCACCGATGCCCATACGGCCTTGTGCACTCACGTCCACAGTTCACAGTGGGGTTCGCTCTGGGGCGCCGGTCGGCGGGGCCGGACAAATGCCAGATATCATACACCCACCACGAGTGTCTCACGGGGTCGTCCCCCTGCCCCAAAACGACCCTGGGCGACCAGCGCTGTGTCAGGGATGGTGACCAGCCTCCATGTGGGTTTGCATGGTGGGCCGGACCTGGGGGAAGGATTTGAGCTGTCGTGGAGGGGAGGCACCATGCGCCCCCCAGGCTTCCCAGAGGTGGAGGGGGCAGTAAGCCAGGGGGCCGTGCCCTGCATTGCTCACCAGCGTCCCCCATGGGGTCCAGCGGGCTGAGGACCCAGACATGACCGGCCACGTGGATGCCGCCTCTCTAGAGGAAGCCGCCAGCATCGCGTTGGTGTGTCCAGGTCACGCAGGGGGCAGACTGGCAGGCTGTGCCTGGGACGGGTGACTGTCGGGCTCTGCCCAACTGGTCAGGGTGCGGCTCCTGGGGGGCGGGGCTTGGGGGGGCCACCGCTCCCCAAGGCCAGGTTTCCCCACCGCAGCTCGAAGAGGGCGCTCCCATTCTGAGTGTGGCGGGGAGCGAGTGGATTGGGGACAGATGCGCCCGCGCCGAGTGCCAGCTCAGCACACACTCGCAGTGAGTGTAGGAGACGCTCGGAGAGTCAGGGGTGTGGGAGGGAGGTTTCGAGGCAGACACAGAGCAGGAGGGCCGACCGCAAGGGCTCGGAGGCCCGGACAGGTGGGGCTTTGGGGACCGTGGGCACGGGTGGGCTAAGCGCCAGGAGGCCAGGACCGGCGGCTGCAGGTGTCAGGGCCAATGTGCTGAAGGGTTAGACCTGCACCCGCCAGGCAGCAGGGCGTCAGGGGCACCTGGGAGCAGGCGACTGACACCAGCCTCCCTGGTCGTCCATGCGTAGGGCAGGGACGGCTGTGTGGTTTCCTGGGCAGCCGGGACGTGGGGTGCCTTCACGAGTCTGCAGGGGGCGGGGTGGGTGGGTACAAATCGCCAGCCCAGGCGATGCTTCGTTGGGGTGCCTGGGCAGGGCCACGCAGAGCAGCCAGCGCCCAGCCTCGCCTCCCCCTCCCCCCGCAGGAGAACCCCTACCTGTGCAGCAACGAGTGCGACGCCTCCAACCCCGACCTGGCCCACCCGCCGCGGCTCATGTTCGACCGGGAGGACGAGGGGCTGGCCACCTACTGGCAGAGCGTCACCTGGAGCCGCTACCCGAGCCCGCTGGAGGCCAACATCACCCTCTCGTGGAACAAGAGCGTGGAGCTGACGGATGACGTGGTGGTGACCTTCGAGTACGGCCGGCCCACCGTCATGGTCCTGGAGAAGTCCCTGGACAACGGGCGCACGTGGCAGCCCTACCAGTTCTACGCGGAAGACTGCGCGGAGGCCTTCGGCATGCCGGCCCGCCGCGCGCGCGACCTGCCGGCCTCCGGCGCGCACCGCGTGCTCTGCACCGAGGAGTACTCGCGCTGGGCGGGCTCCAAGAAGGAGAAGCACGTGCGCTTCGAGGTGCGGGACCGCTTCGCCATCTTCGCCGGCCCCGACCTGCGCAACATGGGCAACCTGTACGCGCGGCTGGAGAGCGCCAAGGGCCTCAAGGACTTCTTCACGCTCACCGACCTGCGCCTGCGGCTGCTGCGCCCAGCGCTGGGCGGCACCTACGTGCAGCGGGAGAACCTCTACAAGTACTTCTACGCCATCTCCAACATCGAGGTCGTCGGCAGGTAAGGCTGTCTGCGGAGGGCCGTGTTGCCCGGGTTTCTGGGGGGGCGGGGAGAGGCGCATGGTGGGTGATGGGCGTCCGAGAGCCCAGCTGCTGCAGCCCTCGGACCCGGAGGCCTGGGGGCACTGAGTGGAGCTGGGCAGTGTGGGCGGCGCTCCAGCGAAAGCCCGGTGCCTGGGAGGGGCTCTGTGGTCGTCTGCCGATGCAGTGACCGGGCGCTTGTGTCCCCAGACCACCCTCTGGGTCTGGGGTTCGCTGGAACGGCCCACCCAACCTGGCACAGCTGGCACCGTCAGTTAGCTGAGGCCGAGGAAAAGGTACAGAGGAAAACTAGACACAGGGCCAGGGGCGCAGGGCTGGCGCCAGGGACGCCGTGCGAGGTCCCAGCCGTCTCCTCCCAGTGCGGACAGCGCCGGGCTCCCCCAGCGACGGTGTGTGCCGACTCGTGTGGACTGGTGCCCCCTGGGGAGTCCGCTGTGCCTGGTGTGCAGGGTTTGTATGGGGACTCGATCATGTGGGCATGGCCATTCCCCTGCATGACCCGGGTGGCCAGTCCCCTGGCCCAGAGGTCAGGCCAGTGCCATGCGGCTCAGGGCCTCCACCAGAACCCCCACTACTAGCATGGGCTGTCTGAAACAGCCCAGGGCCCCAGGGACACACACACACACACATGCATCAGGCATGACGAGTGTCACATCCTCATGTAACAGGAGGATCAGAGGCGTGACGAGACACTCCCAGCGGCTCAGCCGGGAGCCAGTCCAGGGCCAAACTCTTCTTAGGAAAGGGTAAGTGGAGAGCCGAGGCGTGCTGAGCTGGTCCTTCGCTCGCGGCTGTGGGCGAGACTGTGTTTTGAGGACACGTTGCCGGGAGGTGAAAGCAGCCTTTGATCCCGGGGGACTGTTCAGAGTCTAGACAACGTGCCGGCCTGTTCGGGGCCAGGACCGCATCCGGAGCCACCTCGTCCGCTCTCAGGGGCGAGGCTCCGAGGCCCCGCAGCCCAGGGCGGGCGGAGGGGCTGCAGTGTGCACAGCCGGGCTGCTCTAGGAGCGCCTCCTGGGCCAGCAGCATCGGCACCCCCAGGAAGTGTGCTAGAAATTCAGATTCTCGGGCCCCGCGCCAGACCTGCCGCATCGTGAACCCAGGCGCGGGCCCAGTGGTCTGTGCGTCCACGAGCCCCCCCACCCCCTGCGGTCCTGGTGCCCACGCAAGTTTCAGAAGCCCTGCTGTGATGGCTGGGGCTGGGGCCCTGGGGCCAGACAGCCTGGGCTGGATCCCCAGCTCTGCTCTCCTCTGGCTGGGAGGACAAGGACCGCTCTGTGCCTCAGTTTCCCCACCTGTAGAACGGGGATAATGATCCTGCTTCTCTCCTTGGATCGTGCTGAGAGTTAAACCAGTTAACGTCGATGAAACATTCCGAACAGTTATGTGTCTGGCCCATAACACGTGCTGATTTTTTAAAATTCTATTTGTTGTATAAACTAAATAGAGGTCAAAGTCAGGGCGTCGGAGAAAGGCCCGGGCTGAGACTCGAGGCTGCTGGGACGATGCGGGCCGGAGGGCAGCCCGGGCCAGCGCGGACGGGGCCGCTCTGGAGCCCAGCAGGGGCGGCGTCCTTGGGTGTCGCCCCACAGCGGGCCCTGACGACCGCTGGGTGTGAGGTGTGAGGGCGGACAGGCCGCTCACTGCGTGGTGCGCCTCGATCACCCCGTTTCTGTAAAATGCGTGGTGCGCCCGTGCGTGTCCGTTGTTCATTTTGCATGGACAGGACAAAGCAGGCCCCGCCCAGAAGGCCTCGCGGAGGCGGGGAGAGGCCCGACGCATGCGCGCTGCGCGGTCATCGCCGTGCTTGCCCCTGCGGACCGCGGTTGGGCGGGGCTGCGCGGTGCCTGCGGTTGCAGCCGTGTTTGCGTTGCATTGCACTCGGACTCGGCGTGTGGGCTCCAGGTGGGCCGAGGCAAAGGCAAGCAGTTCCCGCGGCGGGGTCAGGTTCGAGGCCAGCTGGTGAGCGCGAGACAGGTGCACATGCAGGGGCCTGTGGTTCTGGCAGCTGGGCTTCTAATCCCCCCTACTCGGGGCAGGGTATTTTAAATCAAGAATGTTCTGGAAGCCTGATATAGGGCCAGCACTGTGGGCGCGGGGGGTCAAGTTTCGGCTCCTGCGCCGGCTTCTTGCATGTGTGTGTCCAGGGTTTGGGCGTCTGGTCATCTCGGCGACCTCTGCCTGCCCTCGAGCGCCGTGGTCATGCTGGTTGAAGACCCTCCCTCTGCCCGGCCATCCAGCCAGGCTTAGCGGACCCCACCCCTGTGGGGGCTTCAGCCCCTTGTCTGACTTGCTTGGGGCAAGAGTCTGGTCAAGAGGCACCTGCCGCTTCATTAGGTGGCGCAGGCGGGGACCTGAGGTCGGGCAGGCTGCAGGGTCTGGGCTGGATGGGGACAGTCCGGGCCGGTAGCGCCCCCAAACCTCCCGCGGTGAAGGTGGTCTCCTGGGGGGACTAGCTGAGCCTCGGTTCTTCGGTGTCACGCAAATTAAAAGCACCTGCTGGTGCCAGGGTACCTGGGGGCTGTGCACCAGGTTCCAGCCCCCTCTGCACCCTCTCTGTGCCTCAGTTTCCCAACTGTAACATGAGGATCAGAGCCACCTGGAGCCTGCATCTCCCTGGCAAGGTGGCAGGGCGGTCCCTGCCCAGCAGCTCCCAGGTCCCCTTGGCTCCCAGCCCCTGCGGGTGGCGGCAGCAGCCGTGGTGGTGGCAGAAATATGGCAATCCATTCACAGAGAGAGTAAGCACTCTTCAGGTGGCTGGTTGGCAGGCTGGCTGCAGCTTGGCTATCGATTAGTCAGGTCTGATTAGATGGTTGGGGAAGGGCTGCGGCTGCCTCTGTTTCCTTTCAAATTCCTCGTGGGAAAGCCCAGCTGAGCCAGGGAGTGGGACAGGCCCAGGGGACAGGACGGGGCGTCAGAGGTGGGCGTGGGGCCCGTCCTGAGTGGGCGCTGGGGACCCCTAGGTCTCTCAGGTTCTGGGCTCCTTCAGAATGTCCTGACCCAGAGAGACAGGCGCCTCCCCCGTGGCCAGGTCACAATAGCAGCAGCTGGTGACCATTGAGCCTTTGCTCAGGGCTGCTTCCCATTGAGCAGATTGAATCAACAGTCGAGTGCTTCCCCCGGTGGCTGTTGGATTCCTGAGCCCCACAAACAGAGGATGTAGCATTGAGCAAGCCGGACCTGATCTCCGCTCCGTGCAGCTTCCCCCACGGGGCGGCGCGCCCCACCGACCCGTGTTTCCAGATGAGCAGGCAAAGTCAGGGAACGTAAGGCGGGCACACAGCTACACTGAACACCAGGCAGCCCAGATCCCACCCAATGTGTCCGAGCTCCAGCCCAGCTCTGTGTGGGACCATGTCACCTGCCTCCCTCCTGAGGGCCAAGGGCTTTGATACTGTGGCTGTTCCCAGCTCCGTCAGCTATTTCCAACGTCAGGGGGAGCCCCGCCGGCAGAGCAGGCAGAAGACACGGGGCAGAGGCCCCGGGCCCATGGGGCAGGGGCCAGAGCAGCGGGAGAAGCCCAGGGCCTGGGGGGTGAGGAGAGGGGCCGAGGAGCTGCGACCCCACAGGGCAGGGCAGCGGGCAGCCTCCAGCCCCTCGGGGCCACTGCCCCCGCCGGCCGTCACCGGACTGACTGAGCCGCACCTGCACGGTGGAGCTACAGTAGGACCTCGCCGGCTTGTGGTAAAGCGACGCATTAGAAGAGCGTGCCCAGTGTCCCATTCCTCTGGTGAGGTGTCCCGAGAGGCGAGGGACAGCGGCTCGGGGCCAGGGCTGCCTGGGAAGGAGGGCGAGACCACCCCGGCCCCCAGACACCACTGCTGAAAAGGAAGCGGGAAGCCTGCTTTTTTGGGTCAGTGGGGGTTACTCTCCCAAATGTCCAGAGGGGCCTGGAAGACGGCGTATGTGGGGAACATGGACCAGGAGAGGCAATAGGGAAGGGTGGGGTCTGTGGAGAAGTGGAACGAGCAGGCTCCTCCCAGGACAGCGGACCAGTATTGCCAGATGTTTTCCTGTTGCAAGAGAAGGTGCACGCAGGTATATACGTGGAACGTGCCACAATATTTTTTGAAAACCTTGTGCAGGTCAAACGAAACACACCTGCTGTTCACGAGCTGCCGGTGGCCCCTCTGCTCTGGCCTTTCCATGTCTTCTTGAGGCAGAGATCCCACAGCCCCTAGACTACTAGAGGTCAGCAGGCCGCCAGCAGGGCAGGCACTCTGGGCTGTGGGGCATGTGCAAAGCAGCCTCGCCCAGCCTGCCAACTCCAGGCCTGAGGGGGCCAGTCCTCCTAGCCTCGCCCCCAGGCCCTGCGCAGGGGCAAATCCTTCTGCTCAGAAAATTCTCGGAGGTTCCAGGGGAGCAGTCCAGCTGGGCCTTGGCCAGCCAGGGACAGGAAAGAAGGAGTGAGCTCCCCATTCCTGGAGGCACGCCAGCCAAGCAGGGTGGCGTTTGTGGGCAAGGAGGTAGTGAGGGCCTGTGCCCCTGCTCCATGCAACAGGAGCAGACGTCCGTGAGGTGAACGGGAAGTACAGACGGTGCTTTAAAACGTGGAGGGTGGCAGGTGCCAGGCATTGCGTCCTCACCCCTGTGCACCCGGAAGGAGGCTGAAGGCCTTGGGGAGATGAGACCCGCCAGGCCCCGAGGCTGCATGGGCACATCTGACCCGGACTGGCCGAGCCCGCGGGTTCCCCCCACCCACCCCGAGTCTGCTGGGGTCCCTGGGCTGCTGACACGCCTGGTTTTCCTCTGCCTGGAGCCCTCCCCCTTTCTTGCCTTCTTGTCTTCTTCCCTAAACGTCCTGTTCCTATCGATCACCGGTAACTGGAGATGGACGGAACTCAGGACGAGAATAGAAACCGCAAGAGGGAAGAGGACCCGGCTCAGTGGGGTGGGGGTGGGGCCGGAGAGACCACGCCCCCTCACTCGCAGTGTGCATGCGCAGGCCCCCTTCCTGGTCTGCCCCGCAGCCGTGCTGCAGCGGCAACAGGCGAAGGTGGGAGGTGTGGGTGCTCAGGCCCCTCTGTGGTCCCCCTGCGGGTGGGGCGCGGGCCAGGCCTTCCTCCTTGAGTACGAGCAACGCTCATCTGCTGAGCGATCTCAGGGCCGAGGGGCATTGTGAGTCTCCTTTGTACGTCTCCTCATTGGGGCTGCCCTGCGAGGATCCGTGTACCGGCGTCCCAGCACACGGACGAGGAAACGGGGCTTGGAGGCTAAGGGGGCGGCGAATGAGCCCATTCGGACGGCGGCTGCCAGAAGAACAGAGAAGGACGGTGCTGGCGCGGATGTGGGGTTGGACCCACGCGCGTGCGGCGGGGGGTGTGCAGTGGTGTGGCGCTGCCGGGGGGGTTTGCCCGTCCCTCAAAAACCAGAGAGGACCCCGCGGGACCGGCGGTTCCGACGGCGCAGAGCGCAGGAACGGGGACAGACGTGTGGACACGCGTGTCTGGGGCAGCACCGCTCACAGCAGCCGAAGGTGGAAACGGCCTGAGCGCCGGGCCGCAGGCGATGGGCGAGCAAAACGTGGTCCGTCCGCACGAGTGCCCAGCCTTAAAAGGAAGGACATCCTGCCCCCTGCCACCACACAGACGAGCCCCGAGACACGACGTGGAGGGAAATGGGCAGGTCACAGGAGGACAGACACTGGGGGATTCCACCAGCAGGAGTGCTGTCACATTCATAGACGCGGGAAGAGGGAGGAAGGTCGCCAGGGGCTGGGGGAGGGAGAGTGCAGAGCCGTCTTTCC